TTTATTTAATATCATAATAACCGCTGTTCTGGAAAAAATAAGTAATAATATAGAAGAATTAGAATAATATCGAATTAGATAATAAAATAAAAAGTTAAAGATAAAATTAAAAAATTAAATTAAAATAAATAAAGTAAAATAACATCCATTATTTAACACATTTACAATTAATATAATAAATCCACATATATCATTTTGTGTTTATTTTTCAAATATTTTTCCTTTTACTATTATGTTCATATTATATATGTAATCATTAAATACATAATAAATAAATAAATATGTTAAGAAATAAATATAGAAAAAAATAAGTATGTAATAAGTATGATTATTAGTAAACAATAAAAATTATCAACTAAATATTGTAATAGAATGAAATATTCAGTCACACAATGATTAAAATTAAAACAATTAATGTATAATTGTAAATTTACTTTTTATTATGAAAAATAAATGTAACTTTAAGTACTACTTAAAAACACAAATTCTTTGAAAACAACAATTCACCGCTTTAAACATACAAATTCTCTGCATTAGCAGTTTGTGTTTTTAAAACATAAAATTTGTTTTTTTTTTTTTAAAGCAGTGAATTTATGCAATTAAAGTAGAAATACATTATGCTGCATCAAATCGGGATAAGAGATACTTTAACCTCTAAAGTCTCAAATTTTAATGCTTGATAGCTCGATTTATAAGGCTAATCATTTTTCTATGAGATTCTTTCGTTTCATGCAAAAACATGTTAAATGAAATTAATTTCATCAAAATCATCGGACCCTCTTCTAAATAATTACCAGAAAGAATTCGTTCGATACTTCGATATCATAGACTTCCTAGTTTGGTTAGGTTATAATGCAGCCATCTTCTCTGTGGTACAACTGACGCACGCGCGTGACGAATTTGTCTTATCAAAGAAAGTGTCGCAATTGGTATATCTAGACTATAGTCACATCAGCAACAACTTCATTTCTCTTGTCCAATAATTAGTTTTGAACAGACTCGCTAATAAGAGTCTGAGTAATACATGCGGGCACCAAATCTTTAGAGACGCATCTGACGCTCCTCCCCGACGCTGACGGGACAGTCAATGGAAGGAGATGTTAAGGAACACCCATGAGCAAATAGAGAAGAGACAGAGTAGTACGCGTTTACAGCGGCTACGCGCGAAATATTGGCTCCTTCCGTTGTTTGACCAATCGTCGCTCTAGATTTTAAACGCGTGCGAACGTAATGCTAAATTTGAACGCGGTTTTCTCGTATTTCAATTTCTAAATCTAAAAATTTCGATTCTAATTTTAAATCCAAAGCATTAATTCAATTTCTAAATCATAAATCTTAACTCATAAAGTATAACATTTAATTAACTTAGAATTAAATCTCGTGTAACATTAGTTATTAAGGCATTAACTAGTGTACAAATAGTAGTGTACAAATTATTACTAAATATATTTAATTAATATCATTCAAGTATGCATTTCATGGACATCTCCATTCTCTTAGCTTTATTCATCCTAACGCTAATAATAATATCTTAATCCACCCTAACGCTAATAATAATATAACCGCTATCGAATTAACGAAAACGATCGCACATGCTTATTGATATGATCAGAATCTGCTAAATTCGCCCAGGGAGCAATAGAGGCCTTGGTTCTCTGATCATTTCTTTCCCTAGCATTCGGGAACATTAGAGGACATTCGATCGGGCACCTTAAAGTAAGAAACTTCTTTTCACATTCTGACAATTGAAATCTCCGTTAATGAATTGTTTTTAGCGTGTCTCACGTATACGCGTCCGCGCACTCATCGATGCTCGAATCTTGGCGATTAATCCGTATTCCACGTGATTACGTAGTGCATATTGCGTATCTTCGTTATTTTTCCAACATAGGCAAATATCGGACATCAAATGTCCTAAATGTTATACTTCTGCGCCGAAAAACGAAAAGAGAAATTACCAAAGGATCTTATAGGACATTATATTCATTTGGAGCTCCCTAAACATTTCGAATTCTGTAGTACATATTCTGTATTAATTGTCACTCGGTATGCCGTTGCAAGTTGTCCTGACTGTTTTGACTGTGTTAGGAGTTCCGCACAATAAAAGGAACAAAAAACAGAGAATTTCAACCTATCAGAAATTATGTATTGTGGAATACACAATTTCTTTTAGAAAAATTTGGCACTTATTTAGGGACAGCGGGAGAGCAATCATAGAATGATTCGGAATCCAATGTAATCATAGAATGATTCGGAATCCATGTAATCGGGATATCTAACGCTCGCCTTGAACCAATCGGCTTGGACAAATTCGGGAACGACTCTCTTTTATACGCGGAATCGCGAATTTCATATTACACCCATAGCCTTAGGTTAGTTCAAAATCTGCTAGAGGATTAGTTCAAAATCCTGAAATGTAACACTCTGCTTTCTTTTTTGTCTCGCTGTTCCGTTCCGCTGTAAATTTTATCACCCCCTAAGAGTGTCGTCATATGTGGCGTAACTTGTACCGACCAATCATATTGTTTCACTTGAATCATATTGTTTCAATCATATTGTTTCACATCAGTTTCTATCTAGTTACTTTATGCTTTTTATGCTATTTTGTTGTAGAGTGAAATCACGATGCGGAAAACGACTGCGGAATAAAGGTGTCACAGAAGCAACCAATCAACCGTTATTCCGAGCGCTGATATTTAGCGCTGATTGGTTGCTTCTATGACGCATTCTCTATTCCGCAGTCGCTTTCCGTGTGATTTCACTTTTACGCCGAAACATGATAGAACCACTATGTGTTGAATTCAATTTCTGGCTCATTTTAGCTTATTTTGTCTGAAAAAATGCACATGGATTTCGATTTTGTAACAATACAATTATAGAAGTCGTGCGTCCCTTTGCATTACATGGAAAGTCTAAACCAGTCAAAACCCATGTGGAACAGTATAATTATAAACTTCATTTTACTTGATAGATTTCCTAACCTCAATAGTCATCAACTTTAATATCTCGGATCACAATGCAGAGCATTTTTTTGCCAGATTCTTTCGTTTTATGTAAAACGCGTCGAATAAGCCTAAGAGTGGTCTCACAAGACTTCCTAATTTTAACAATTCATTCGATCATCCGTTCATACGTACGCGATGGAAAGATGTCAGTTCCCCATGGGGCATACTTTTCGAGATATGTAGGTTACCAAAACTACTCATAAATCTGTTTAGCATTTCTGTTAGAGTGTATAACAGAAATTTTGATCAGCAATTGATTTCTCACATTTTTCTAATTTTCCGCGAAATCCAATGTGAATCCCTTTTAGAATGGCTTTCAGAATGGCGTATTCTAGTAAACAAAATATAATGTATTCTAATAATATTAATAGAATATGCAGATTATGTTTATGCAGGTTATGCTTCATGTGACAACGCCCTAACGCAGTCACTGCTTTCTCAACCATCAACATTTGATGTACTGTCTACAATGGGCAGTAGCAGTAATTGATTAAGGAGTAGACATAGAAATCAACCAATCACAATTGAATGTGAGAAAAATAATCAACTATGATTGGTCGCCTTCTTAATTAATTACAATATGCGTGACGCGTGGTCTACAATGGTAGTAGCAGTAGTGGCTGAGACTATAAAGCCCATTCTACAATGGGCAATAGTAGTAGTGAATTAAAGAATAGGCATAGAAATCGACTAATCACAATTATTCTTCCCACATTCGGCTTAAGAATAATAAATTAATCACAGTTGAATATAAGAAGAATAATCGATTGATTAATTTTTTACTGTTACAGTCTCATCCATTATTGATACTGCCATTGTAGACCATGCATGAGATTTGTTCGCGTCGCACGCTCCAATATGCCCAACACGCTCCAATATGTTCGCGTTATCGGAACCAATATGGCGACTAGATGTTTGCGTCGCGTTAGACCATACTCCATGGATCAATTAAAGATTTGTTCACGTCGCATACTCCAAATTAACCCAGAGAGCACTTGGATCACTGATAAAGTAGCGATTGGAGCATTCATGTCCTCCAATATTCAGTGGCACGAATGAATTTAGGACAAGCATGTACCTAATCGTAAAAAGACACGAATATCGGACATGTGCCTCGTTTCGTTTCAAGTATTTTGTGTTATTATTTGATTATTTGAAAAGCGTTTTTTTACAAAATAAATAAATATAAAAAAGTTATATTATATTTTTATATTATATTAGG